GCATTTTCTTGCATTTATTTTGAAACCGGCCTCGTTAAGTAAGGCAAAAACTTCTTCCAAATGTTCCTCTAATGTTTCGCTGGTAACTATGATATCGTCAAGATAAATAATTGTACTTTTATCTAAAACTGGCTTTAAGACTATGTCCATAGCTTTTTGGAACGTAGCTGGCGCTCCGCTCAAACCAAAGGGCATTCTTAAAAAGGCATAGACGCCTGACTTTGTTATAAACGCGGTCTTCTGGACATCCTCCCGCTTAACGGCGATTTGAAAGTAACCCGACGTGAAGTCTAGGGTTGTCATGAATTTAGTCGAGCGAATGTTTCTAATTATTTCGTCAATTATTGGTAGGGGATATGTGGGATATTTTGTTATACTGTTCAACTTACGATAATCAACTGCAAACCTATACGCGTTCGGGTGTTCAGGCGGTAGTCCTTTTTTTTTTTTTTTTTTTTTTTTTTTTTTTTTTTTTACAAAGGACCACCGGACTTGCGTACGAACTCGTGCTAGGCACGATTATTTTGTTTTGTAGCATTTTTTCAATATGCTTCTCTATAATTTTTTCTGTTGTCATATCTATATGGTTTCGACCGGACTGGAGGGGCATTCCGAGTGTCTATGGAATGACTAACTACCTGACAAAAACCAGGTTTGTCGTTAAACAAAGAATTAAATTTCCTTACCAATCCTTCAATCTTCTTTTTCTCTTCCAAGGTTTCAAATGTTGTAGCTGCAATTCCGGCATGGAAACTTCATCTTCTTCTACCGGGTCCATGTGCACCTGAAACGTAGAATTCTGAAAATTAAGATTTGCGCCGGATGCGCGTAAAAAATCAACCCCCAGTATCACTGACGTGAGTAAATTTTTCACGACTAAAAAATTAATTTTTAGGACCTCGTTTTTAATCTGAACATGCAGTGCGGTTTTCCCCAAACATACGCACTGTTTGCCTTGGGCGGCAATTACTTTCTGTCCCGTGGCTATAAACAGTCAATAACGAAGAAAATGTTTTTTGAAAAAATTTTCCGATAGGAATGAACATTGTGCCCCTGTGTCCAGGAGTGCAGTGGTTGGTACATTATTTACCAAAATCTGTACCTCCGGCATAGCAAGATTTTGTACTACTACTGTATTTAAACAAATTTCTGCGGGGTCTTCTGTCCCACTCGGTGACCGTTGCCCCTTCTCGATCACCGGTTTGCGTTTAAATTCTGGTTACCTGCCGCCTCTTTTCGCTGATTTTTATATCCACCGCCCTTAGATTTATCTGCGCTCTTGTTATTGAACTTTTCACTTTTTCCCGTCTGCCGATACGCCTTGTACTGAACTTGTGGTTTCTTTTGGGGAGTAAATCTTAAGTACTGGCCAAACGGACTTGCACACGCTTTCTCTGAGTTTCTTCTACTTCTACTAAATTTCATTGCAAGCTGAAATAGAATTTCCAATGTTTGCGGATTACGCACTTCGAGAAAATCTTGCGCTGACGGTAGAAGACGTGGCAGAATAATTTCAATAATTTCTTTATCGGGGTTTTTCCCGTATAATAGATTAAAAATATGAACTTTTCTTAAAATGAATTCCGTCAAATCCTCGAAACCGCCTTGGTATTTGCTATATAATTCTGATTCAAGCTTCGCACGATCTTTAACAACTGGAAATGCTTTTATTAATGCAGATTTGAAATTTTCCCAGTTATATGATTCAGATCCAGGGTCCCCCAACAAGAACTTTCCTATACTCTTCTGCCAGCTAAGGGCTTGACCTTTTAATGCTGTCGTAGCGATGATCACTTTTTGTAGCTGATTCACAGGGTATAAGGTGAAATGTAGGTCCTGCTCCAAAAATGTCAGGACTGAGCCCTTGCCATCAAAAGTGGCTGTTGGTTTCATAGCTGCATGCAAAGTTTCCACGAGGAATCCAAACCCTTCTACTGGATTCGTGGATGTTGTAGGGACCTGAAAGGTCGGAGGGGTCAACGTAAACTTCCCGGATTCTAACGACATGGTCCGTTTAGAATTCTTTTCGGGCGCCAATTGTACCTCACTTTGGAATTCTAAGTTAATGTTGGAAGTGAGAAACCTAAGAACTGATAAGCGAATAATCGCTAGAGTTCGATGACAAGAAACAACAAGAGAGAAGAAGGGTAACTAACTCTTTATTATTTCGACAAGATTTCACAAAACTCCGCCTGGGAGTGTACAAGTAAAGCCCGCACTTTGGACTTGAACTTAAAAGACTAAGAATTAAACTAAATAAGTATAGCCAAAGCTATCAAGGTTCAATTAGAGTTGGCCCCTTAACTTATTTTACTACGAAGCTTAGCAAGGGCCCGAGTACGGCCGAGCGTAAAAACAGCTTTGAGAGAGAGAGCGGCCAAAAAGTCAGACGCGCGTAGTTCAGAAACTCTGATTCTCTCTCTGTCTCAGTAAGTAACTTCGTGGTTTAAATACCACTCCTTCTCATTAAATATTCAGCAAATTCCAAAACTACGTTCTGGCCGGAAGTAGTAAGTTGAAGTTAAGAATTTGACAGGAAAGGAACTTTAACTTAAAATTTAACTGTTAATAAAATTAACATAATCCTTACAGCTTCATCAACTTTCCTTACCAAATCATCGGTACAACAGAAGGCCGACCACTCCGAGCCTCGGCGTGGACATTTGTTCGACCTGCATTAAACATTCTTACCCACTTTCTCACCATTCCATCACTTATCGCGTATTCACCGTAAACTTCTGTCACTTGATGATAAATTTCGGCCGGTTTAACATTCCTCGCGTTCAAAAATTTAATCACGGCACGAATCTCACAGTCAGCGGGAGAACTAATTGTCTTAAACAATTTGAATGTGCATAGCAAACTGAAAACACAACATAGAGCAATGAAAATGGCGACAATTGAAAGTCAGTGAACAAGAAAGACTAGTGCGCATGCGCGGGACGTCTACCACAGCGCTAGAATGAAACGGTACTTAGTTTCCGAATACGCTACGTATAAATATTAATCTTAATGTCAAAGTTAACAATCATTTTGGAAATAACAATAAAATATCTGTATGGAAGTGTTACATACTGTAATTACTCGAACAGCAACAACTTATCATTGACTGTATTGGTGTATTAAAAATACCAAAATTTTATTCTCATTTTTAAAGGGTTAAGTAAATAAGAAATATAGATTATTTTCAAATACTATATTCATAAGAAATGTACTGTTAATATCTGAGAAATAAATTAGAGGGAAATATACTGTTAATATCTGGGAAATAAGTGGATTTATACTTCTCTATCTGCTGACACAACTTTCTTGCAAAATGAATACAACGTTTATTTATTTATTTATTTATTTATTTATTTTTTTCTAATAAAATCTTCATGAACCTTCTCCTCCTTTAATTTATCTTACTGAAACTACTTAAAATGAATGAAGAAATGACAAAAGATATCAAGTTCATGTCACTTTATTATAGTTAACTATACAGATCATAACAAAAATGCATAAGTATAAAGAGGCACCAAACAGAATTTGTACTCATTAAAAGGCACTACTTTCATTTTATGAGAGTCATGCCCTGAAACAGATCAGAGCAACCAACTATAGTTTTTAAGTAAACACTATTTAAAATTTAAATCATATTAAACTGTAGTTAATTCCTAGTAACTACTTGATAGTTTGAATTTAGACTCAAAACAACGGAAAGCTAGCAGTGTACTTTTATTCATCAAAATTATTTCTTTACATTATACATTAATGATCGTTTAATAAAAGTTCAAGAATATCTTTTATCTCATGCCTCTTTACATCTGTTTAAAAGTTTAGAAGTTCAAGTGTTTAGAAGTTTTTTAATGGTCACTATTTGTTAATTAGAATTAAAATTCCACGGTTCTTTCTTTCCATTTTATTTTCCCCAAAATTATTTTAAAAAATTCTATAATTTCCTAATAAGGTACAAATGTATTTTTATAAGGTGTTTCAATCTAGTATCAACATTATTCAAAATAATACTTTCTTGTATTTCAAGCTAATATATATAATACACTTAAAACAGTTCTTTCAAATAATGTTTGTCATTTTATCTAAGGCTTTCGTTTACTTTTTAAAAATGGTTTCAATAACACTATTAATTGAATTTTTCAAAGTATTCGGAAAATGTAAAGATGAATTTCTCTCAATCTGCATTCTTTTTCATTAAAATTTTTTCACTTATTTCCATTTTATTTTTTATTAAGTAAATGGACATGCCTCACTTTAGATTTTATTTCTACAAAGAGAAAAAATTTCAGGATGCGTAGGGACAGCGTTCACGGTCTTTTCGAACAATGAAGAAATTTATCAAGCAAAATTCAGTCTACGCAACCGTGCTTCAGTTTTCCAAACAGAGTTCCTTGCACTCAAAGAAGCAGCACTATGGTTAGGTATGCAACCAGCAGCTCACACTTCATTCTTCACAGATAGCATGAGTGTTCTGAATGCGCTGAATTCCTTTCATCCAAAACATCCACACACGGCAGCACTTAGAGAGATCCTCTTCACGTTAGGCTCCTCCATCCCTTTAAAGATCAACTGGATAAAAGGACATACCGGGCAGAAAGGCAACGAACGAGCGGATGAACTAGCTAAGATTGCAGCTCTCAAACCAGAAATTGACAAAGAAGTTCTGCTTTCCGCAGAAGTTGCAAAAAGGCTCCTCAAGACAACATTCCAAGAGACATGGTCATCACGATGGCAGGAAGAAGAGACAGGAAGATTTACTTACAACATCTTCCCAATACCTACTCTCAAGAGGCTCAAATGCAGCTGACTTTTCCTCCAGGCCTGTACCAACCACGGGGAATTCCAGCGTATTACAGACGATTCCTCAGACGGGACGTCAACTGTTCTTGCGGTTTTCGCAAGGAAGACGCGGACGTACTTCATTACCTGCTCTCCTGCCCTCTGACACAGCATCTTCGACAGCAGTTCTTTCCTTCCAACTACATCACATATCCTATGAATAGACTGTTCACGGACTATTACTGTAACAAGGGCATCTTAGAGATAATGAAGCATGTGAATGAAAATAATTATATCAAAGAAACTAATTAATTTAAAATATAGAAAGGTGGCTTAACCGTCAGATTGCTATCAATGACTAGGATAACTTCCTAAGCCTGTAGTGCCATTAACTTAGTTTGGCGGAACAGGTTAAGTAAAGTGACCATATATACACATCTAGATAATTGCAGATAATTTTTGGTCAAAATATTCTGTCATAATAAAAGTTAAGTGTACTCCAAATATCTTCTAAGCATTTAATATATGCAAAAAAACCAGACTGAAATTTTTCTTTTGAAAGAAAAGCTATATATTCCACTTTCCTTTCTAATAAAATATCTTAAGCATGCCTGCTGTAACAACCAGAAAATTAAAAGAAAATTAGAATGCAAATAAGGAACATAAATAACAAGAAATTTAATAAGCAATGTCTGATTAGTAATGTTCCCAGTCATCATATCAAATTTTAAAAAGAAAAAGCTATTTTCAAAATACATCACTATCAGCAATAAAAAGAGATGATTATACAAAATACCTTGCCCAATAGCACAGACTCCCTTCCAGGGACTGTGTAATGAAAATAAAAGATATAGAGGAAGAATATTATCTGCAAGGTTTTTATAGTTTTAAAATTAACAGTAAAAAGAATTTACTAAATCTAATTTCACAAAAAAGTTAAACCTAAAAAACTATTAGAGTATATGAATGTATGATACAATATGCTTCTCAGCAGAAGTTCTGACCATTCACATATTTTAAATCTAAAAAGGAAGTTTACAGTTGATAAATAAGAAGAATGATTTATTTAATCATTAGAATGGAAATGTTCAAATATACTATTCTTTTGGACTCAGACAAAAGGAAGTGTTAATGTATCATTCATTCATTTAGCAAGTATATGTAATCTATTGTATTGCATTTTATTATATTTTATGATAAATTGAATTGCACATTCATTATATAAAAAATACAGAAATATTAAAATAGATACCACAAATATGATAATAGTTATATAGAATTATTCATACTTGAGAAGAAAATACAAAATTGTGCCTTTACATAAAAAGTGCTTTTGTTAGTAAAAAGACAAGTACATATAGGAAGACAAATCATTTCATGAACTCAGCTAATTTGCAAATGCCTGAAGTATTATGCAGTGGTTCATTCATACATATTGTATTTTGTATTACATATACATTATATAATTCTTTGCTCTGTAATTGTTTAAGATTTAGCAACATACTTTCCTACATATAAATTGAACACTCATAGTTAATAACAAATGTGTCACAGTTTTTAGAATGCAAAAGAATGAAGTCATACTCCAACTTAATTTAAAGCCAGTTTTAAAGAATAATTTATATTTGCTTTAATGGAGAAAAATTTCATTCATCTTTAAAAAATGCCATTAATCAAAGAATATTTTAAAAGATGCTTAACCCATTTATGCTTAATGCTCCAGCCTAACATTTTTCTGCTCAACATTTGGCACAAAATTTGCATTCAAATAATATATTTATTATGAAATATAAGATTACTGAAAATGATTGAACTAATTTCAGATTTGAATAATTTCTTACTCACCTATACAACATATTAACAGTATACAATATAAATTTTCACCTATTCAGAAAAATTAGGTACATATTGAGTGAAAATGGAAATACACAAGTTTTTTAACTTCTAAAATTTTTGAATAAAAATATTGTGTTTTCTTAAAAATGATCTTAAACTTGAAATGAATTATTTAAAATAGACATGATTTCATATTCAAAATCTTAGCCTATTAGGTTACTGTAGCATAAGCCATATGTTTCCTTCAGGATTCTACTGAAGATGGTTTGGGCTGCTAACATTCCTGATTTTATCTTTACAATTGCAAATTGTGAAGATAAAAATCAAAGAAAATTGTACAGCCAGGAGGATCTGATTAAGAATGTTTGCAATCCTAGGCATATAATTCTTTCAAGGACTCTCAATGTCAAACTTTGAACCAGAATTATGAAAACTTACATGATTTTAAGGTTCCTTAAAATCTGGTATCCTAGATATGAGTTTGAGTGGTAATCAGATCTTGAATCCAGTGAGTACAACAAGAATTTAATTATTAGGCTTTGAATTATACATGTATCCAAAGACACCCATTAATCAGATTTCCTTTCATTTCATGTTTTACTTGTTATTTTAAGTTCACAGATTTCATGAAAAAAGCCATGTGAAACTGAATTACATATTTAAATAAGCATGTATTTTTAACCGACTTCACAGTAAGTAACTGGTCACATGTAAAAGTCAAACACTGACAATCCTAAACAGTTATTAATACAAAAAAATCGTTGATATTCTGTTAAATATAATAAAGCTATTATCAATATATTAAAGATGCTTTTAAAAATGACAATACTATAAATGGTGGAAACTGCAATAGACAAAAAATACATTTCAAAGAGATCTGCATTGAAAACTTCATAAAAATATTATTCTCTTTCAAGAACTGTAAACCTTCCAGAAATAATAAATTAAAAAGCATTTAATTACCATTTTTTGTGCACATATATAGCTCTACTACATCTTCAAACATTAATAAATGAATATTTATTTTATGCAATTCTTAATGAAATGTTGAGTTCTAAGCAGCAGTAGGTTTCTACCCAGTATCACACAGTGGATGCTACTGCAACATCCTGTTGTTTCGGATACTGGTAACTTACTATTCTCAGTACAAGATAGCTATATGAAACATATCATGATGAGTTTAAATTTCACTCATACAAAATATAAATCACTGTTTCGGTAATTATTTTTCATATTAGCAATTGAACAGAATTCAATTTCTGAGGAGATTTATGACTTTGTAAACAAAAAGAATTAATACAGATTCTAATGCACCAAATTAGATAAATTTGGAGGGGGGAGAGAGAGAGATTTGGTTCCTCTATGTAAATTTCAAATAATATAAACACATTCTGTTATCATCGTTGCAACGTATTTTAAGGCAAAAAAGTTCACATGAGAAACATATTAGCAAATAAAAAAACTAATTCAGTTTTCATAAATATAAAACTGACAAAAATATTTACAAACTATTTATGAGCATTTTTCCAAAATAGCAGAAGCTTTCAAATAACTTAAAAATCCTAATAAAAGCTTGAGATCCAAATAAGATTTTCATACATAATTCTACAGAATTTAAAAAAAAAAAAAAAAAAAAAAGAACAAGAGAGATAGAACACTATAACAAAATGCAAAAATATATTAATTACATTTCTACATAAGCTTCAAATTATACTTTGTTAAAAAAATTAAACATACACTATCAAACCCATTTTCTGAGAGAATTATTCATAAGTCTATCAACTAAATGATCAATTGGCTTGACTATGAATGGAATACATCCTAAGCCAATTCCAACAGTTGTCCACTTTCTTGTAGTTGAAGGCAATTTGCTGTGCTTTGTTAATAAATATAATGAAGCAGCACAAATTCGATTGACTGTAAAGCCTGGTATTGCTACTGATGCTAGAGTCTGCCATATTAGCGTATCAATAGCTGAAGTTATTAATTTCCTTTTCCTAGATGAATCAACTTTCTCCAAAAGCTATAAATAGAAAAATGTACATTTTAGTTTTTGTTGCCCTATAAAAAATTCATTTAAGTAAATTTCTGGTAATTTTCTACCTTATTTTCTACCTACTAATGCCTAATTGTGATATATGGATAATTAAGACTAGCTGATATGGTCATCTCAGTTGTAAGAAATGAGGATTTTCATTTACAAATAACAAGAACATTATTCAAGAATAGAAATTCAAGTATTATAAAGTTACTTTAGACACAGTGAGTTCAAGAATATCACTAATTCTGCTTAAACTAAAAACAACCAAAAGACTATTTTAATTTTCTTTTGATCCAGATAAATTGTGAAGCACTTTGAGATAATTTATATTTTAAATTGCAAATGTGATTACAGAGTATTTGCCTGTTCACCTAGGCTGAACTCCAAGTATTCAGTAGTTTTAGCCTCTTTTTTACCACAAGCTTTTTCCCAAATAAAAAGGAACACAACAATGAGAAGGTCGATAAAGAGCAAAGTGTGGTTTTAATAACAATCAATAAGTATTGATTTTGCAACAAAAAATCAAAAAGAATTTTTTGTATCTAGAAATTCTGAAGCAGGGATAAATACTAATTATTCTAATGTCAAATAGACAGAATTAAAATCAGAACCTTTTGATGGCAAACATAAAAACTGATACAAATTTTAGTTACAGTTTGAGGGGAAATTCATAAAAACAAAGAATTATTTTGAAATGACAAATTTGACTATTTAAAATCATTCTTAAAGGGTACTGTATTAAAATATGTACAAGATTAACATTTTTCCATGCAAAGAAACAGTGGTTAGTGGCTCTGATTACCATACTAAAGGACCCGAGTTCGAATCCTGGAGAAGACATGGATGTTCTAAATGTATCATGTCTTTGTGACATGGGGTGCTCTAAATATACAATGAGCCTAAAGTCCTCTCATGTGGTTTGACACTAGGGAAAGAGTGATAGGAGACCCTCAGACTGTACCCCAGGGTGCTTTCCCTCAGAACTGGGCAAAATCGGTACTTACGTATGAATGCAACCATCTTAATAGAAGTCGCCAAATTTTCAGAATATGTCAAACTCTGGCAATCATGCACATAAACATACATAAACATCCCTCTGGCAACCATGCTTATAACAGTCTTTCAGTCAAGCAATGCTGCCATTTTTTTGTGGGTTCTTTTTGTTGTATTTCAACTTGCAATGGTTTTTGTAAACAAATCATAATTTTTTGCCTTAAACTTAGTTTTAAAATATGAGCTTGGGGAATTAGCCAGCAATGAAAAACACTGCAGTAAAATTTCTGCAGGAATACAGAATTCTGCTGAAAATTTTCTAAAGGAACAATGAGGAAATATGTTTCCTAGATAGCCGCTGTTGCTGAGGGTTGCATGAAGACAAGTCTCCACAATTCTCTGCCACCTCTTTATGCAAAAACAGATTGCTGTGTACATTGGGAGAAGAATAACACAAAAAAATTACAGAAAAAGTTGAAGAGGAATGCAAGTGTCTTTTTTTTTTTTTTTTTTTTTTTTTTTTTAGTAGTATACCACATAACCCTTAGTTAATAATTCAAATTTGTATCTTAAATTGCTAAAACATATATTCTTTTCATATGCTGATAATGTTTACTGACTTTGTTACAATAAATATCAACAATTTGAGAATCTCTCTGAAACAAAGGTGCAAAAATCACCAACTTGTACCTAATAAGTGACTTTTGCCTTTTCATCTGAAAAAAATTGACAAATTGTGCCAAGATGGTTACCACAAAATTGTGCTGCCCAAAGCTCTTACCAATGAGAGATGCAAGCTTGTACTCCTTACCACAATAAAATTAGTGGGCTTACTCTGATTACATCAGACAAATGAGATTATTCCCAACAATACACACAACAATCATGCAATTATGATTCAGCAACTGAATTATTAAAAGCATGATTTGGTATGAACAGAATCATATATTCTCATGTGAACAAACTGTTAGGCTGAACCTTATGAAATATGTTAAAATTTAACAGAACTGAAGCAGTTACATGATAGAATTACTGTTCAGATCTGAAGTCTCAAAATAGCAGGAGTAGAGCTTAACAATTATGGGCGGAATTCTTTTTATGATTTTAGTAAAATTAATTCCTGAAAATATTGTATTAGAATATAATCATTCTGCTAAGGATAAACAATTGTGGAACTGCTCAAAATTACTCCAGTTTCTTAAAAAAAAGAAATCAAAACATACAAAACAAAAACAAAAAAAAAACTTTTGTTTCTTACAACACACAAAGCTGATAAAATGAAAGATTTACAATAAAGATGAGAAGTCTAAGTGTCTACCGACAGCAGTTTCTTTAATTACTACAATTAAAAGCATGTATATGGTTTATTCTAAGGAATAAAATCAGATTGATAAATGTCCTTTACCTGAAAGTGAATAGAAATTTAGCTTACTATATCTTGGATGCTGCTTTAATTGTTTGAAAAAAATCTCATGCTTCCAGATTTTGCCACAATTCACAGAGTGTACGAAATATGGACAGAAACAACCATTATATTTGTAAACCCGGAACAGTGACAAAAGTCTTATCGGGCAATGAAATAAAATGCAATAAATGACATCAAAGATGCAAATCATACATCACATTATTCTGTTTCCAGCTGTGAGGATTATAACATACAAATATATATGTATAACTATTGCTTTGCTGACTCGCAGCAAGAAGTAAAAATCAAATATCTATTCGATACTGGTTGAAAGAGCTGTTACTGATAAGTAGCTATCTTGTATCCTGTAAATTGGAAGTGACCAATCAGAATCATTTAACTGCTATTGGTTCAAGAGCATAAAAAAATGGTAATGAGTAATTGCATGAGAGTGAAACTGAGAAACATCTGAGAATAACTTTAGAAGCTATTAAAACTCCGTGTATTTCTGAAGCAATAATTAAATACCCTAGTTAAGAAATTAGCAGTTACTGCAGACAGATGAAAATACAAATGGCTGATGACTCATATTCTGAAAATTTAAGAATATCATTGTTAAATTGGTTAGATAATTTTTGGGCTATCATTACTGGGAAAATAAAATTAATGCCAGGATCTTTAATGGGAATGGAAATAAAACTGGGAAATATATTCAACAGATTTGAAAGTAATGAAGGCTATTGCTCAAAATGAAAACTTAGATAAAACTGAGATTTGATCTAAGATGTAGTAAATTATGTACAATGATAATTGGAACAATTTAAAGTTTCAAAGAAATTCAAAAATTCTATAAAATTAATTGACAGTTGCTGTAATGTTAATGTTCCATGTAATGAAAATGCTGAAAGTTTATTTAATAAATATGCCAATGCTGACCAAAATTTTCAAAAACTAGTTAAAATATTTAAGAGAAATCCTTCTTTTCTTAATCAATGTCAGGAAATTATTTTGAAGCACACTGCAGAAGACATAGCCGAGAAGCTAATTTAACTCAAAATAAAAATAAAGTTTACTACATGCCTCATGAACATAAATTAATAACATAAATGATGATGAACATAAAATGATAATCATTTTTTATACTTCTTCTAACGCTGTATTTCTGTTTCCCTTCACTGATTGTCTGAATCCAGGTCAAACTTAATACCAAAGTATCAATGAACAAAAAGTATCCAACATTTTTTAATGAAATCAAAGCGACAAAAGTGACCATTAGAATGGGTCACTTTTGTCGAATCCTGAACAATGTTGATTTATTGTATAACACTACTTTAGGCCCCATGGTATTATGCAGTAAATGTAGACACTGGCCTTAATGTTTTCGTTTTTCCTTTTTTTAATATTGCAACTCTTAAAGAGAATCATTTTGAAGCAAAGCTTAGAAACTGGACAACAAAAAAAATAAATGGTAATAATAAATAAAATAAACCATAGGTCAGGATGATTGATGCAAATACAAAAGACTCAACTGTGATTAAGTCAGTATACTTGAAAAAAATAAAATACAATCAAATATACACTTCATAGTCTTTTCCTGGCAAACTGCTGTCAATTATTGCATGGTACTATACCAGACCCATGCTACTATATGCTTACATCATTAATTAAATTTACTGATAAAACAATAAAAGTGATGAACTAGATATTTAATACTGATACATTTAATTAAAACTTCTGCAGTACTTCATTGCTAATAATTATATCAGCCTGCATCTCAATATTTTAATAGTTATTAGCAGAAATGGCATTTCTGGCCCAGAGGAAAACATATGCAAAGACATAATAAATTGATTACTGCCAAGATAATTTTCTGACAACATTAAACCCAGCTAATGATAAAAACAATAAAATTATAATCACTGACCTTATCTGTTTTCTTTACTTTATCAGCAGTGTCAGCCAATACATAACCAAAGGATACAACATAGCTAGCTCGTACAACATTCACATGAACTATGGCACGAAAAGATTCTCCAACTTCATTTGCATAGCCTAGCAAAGATTTAAAAAGATTCAACAATACTCATTTAGTGAGTAATAGGTTATAAATGAATACTACATTTGAAAACACAATTATTCTATACAGATATTATTTAAAACTTGTTTAATTCTACTTACAAAAAGGTTTTTATTTGTATAGTACGATACATGTAAATTCTACTTTTAAAAAGATTTCATCCCATTATACATCACTGAATTCCAAATGATAACTCTTAATGTAAAAACACTTTCACTCCTGAATTCTTGTTTCATAATAAATCACCTCTTACAATTTCTACAGCTCATCGCATGTAATTTATCAAAAGTTATTATGATATATTAAATTGTTAATGCTACGTACTGGTTGCTGGCTTTCAGTGCTCATAATGGTGCTGTTTGACTTCCTAGAGAAGATTTCTTTCCCCAAAAAAGTAATAACCTACATTTCAACTTTAAAGAATTGATAAATTAATAAAATAAAGTATTCTGCTAAGATTATCCTACATAATTCTTTTCGCTACAGATGAAAACTGTAAGCAGCTTCCGGAAGACTTAATTTGTTGCCCTGCAGACTAGGCTCGGAACTAGATATTTGCCAACCGCTGCGAACTCTAAAACTACTAAATTCAGATGCCCAGTTTCTTCATTAATTCCTAGTTGTTTAGCCGCGAGTAACATGCGTTTCGCGTGTTGTTTATCCCCTAGCATAAGTGTGTGTCACAATGGCACTGGGGATAGAGCATAATTTTACAAGTTTTGCCGCCCCTTAATTCTCAGGCCCGATGCGATTGCAGGGAATGCAGCAAATAGCTGATTTTCTTTTGCGAAACAATTTCTAACAATATATTATTCACGCTACTTTAACACTTTCTAAACTAAAAGATGAACATGAATAAAAAAATAATCAAGAAAAAATCATAAAGTAAGTTTACCAAGAAGTCTCACAGGGGTATCGCGATATATGTCCACGACTTTTCCTTCCGTGCCTTTCGTCTTAGCAACCGCAGCGTCCTTACCGACGTCCATATTTCACCTCTAAACCATTGCACTGATACGCTAACTGTAGAGTCTTTCTACTCTGTGATACATATATCGAAAAAAAAAAAGAGAAAAGCATGAATGGAAAAGAAATCCCAAAACATCCCCGAGAATAAGATAAATATAATGTAATTTTACAATATAAAAAACTGATAATTTTATGAATATTTAAATAATTTCTGTTATTAACGAAAAATAATTTTAATTCCTAATATTGAATCCCTTTTGAAAAATATATAAAAGCAATTTTAAAGTATAGTAAGAAAATATCACTTTGTATTAAAGTATGGTAAGAAATCAAAGTATAGTAAGAAAGTTTCAGTGCCGAGCTTTTGCCTCCCAATGCAATCTCTGCGTCCTTTTATGTAAATCTCTACTAGGACCAGCATTACTCTATGCTAGTTCTGTTTGGGTCACACCAAAGCCACCTAGATATCTAGTTGGCCTTGGTCACGCTGCTAAAACTCGCTTCTAACATATTCAGGTTCTTCCAAACAAAGCACTCAGAGAGATTATCAACGCGCTATGGCTCATTGCAAATTCGTATACCCACCATGATCTCAAAGCAGACAAAATTCAAAATTATATATATAAACTTGACAGAAATTTCGGCTAATCTTTGGAATATGGTAACAGGTAGTTTGGCGACATTTTGGTAAGACGATAAAGGTTACTAGCTAGGACTTTGGCAATAATGTACATGGAAGTAACCAGTTCCAAGAGTTGTGCGGCAATGCCATTTTGTGCAATTCAAGTGAAAATAGGTCGACGTGTACATGGAAGATACCGTGTATGTGCAATTCTTAAAAACGCGGCAAGCAGTGGGCGATTCTGCACTTTCTCCCAATTTCGCACCTAATCTTCGTCATGATTAAGCACTTTTGTTCCATAAAAGTTCTAGCATAAGCGTAATTCGGCTAGCAGATTGTTGGAAAAAATGATGAGTAAAAAAAAAAACCCATGCCTTTACTTCGTGAAAACAAAATGGCGTCCAAACAAAAACTAGCAGGTTGCTGTAACAGGGTTAGTCGCCAAATTTTCGCCAAAAAATCGCCAAGTTACCATAATTCAAAGAATAACCGAAATTTCTTCTATTCTGTTATCACTCATCCTAACAACTGCTTCTACTCCCTTAGATGTTCTCCATTTTCCAGAGAAAATAACAAATATCAATCTGATATTCCCCATCCTTAACATTTTTTACTTATACTAGTCACTTCAGTTTATTGATATGAACCTTCCGCCAGAAACTCACCTTCCTCGTCGTCTGATGGCGACCACTTGACTTAATACTTTCGTCTTATTTTGTCCACACTACTTATTTTTACTTATGGTCTTGACCAGATGCAGAGTAAAAGGAAGAAATGTTTTCTGAGACTTATAATTCAATATATTCTTAGTAGTAAATTCTGCTTAGAAGTTCTTTGGAGTGGTCGCACAGGTTTTGCTCTGAAAACAGTTTTAGTTTTCACGTTTGTAATTCTTCACAAATTTTAGGTTACTAAATAAATATACTTTATTGTAATGAATTAAAAACTAAATAATATTTTTATATCTCTGAAAATTCGACAACGATAAACAGTACATTGAACCGTAATTGAAACCTTTTGACTTCAAACAAGCATTAGTGCAATCTATCCAAATTCTGAGGTAATCACATCTCACTTGAAATTTGTAACTGGGTGGTTCGGTGGGCTTGTATCTGCTCTCTCTACATATAACATCATCTTTGTTGCTGGGCAGTTTAATTTTTCTGGAATGGCAACAAGCATATAAAAAAATGCGTTCATGTTTGTAATTTTAACGTTTACTTGACTACTGCGAATTAAAATATGATACTACTCCATTCTGGAATTATCATTTATATTGGCTTAATCGTAGTATATGGAACACAAGGAATTTGGCGACATTATGATGAGCAGTAAACGGCTCATTTTGGTGTTGGCAGCAATTTCAAAATCGCCCCAAGTCCGTATCGTATACTAGGATTTTACCAATTTATTAAATTATCCCATGTATTGACTGTGCGTAGCGTCTAAAACAGACTTATTACATATTCTGCAATAATCTATAGATTTAGTAAATGCCCCAAGGCGTTGGATCATTACATCCCACTACGCTGACAGGTGACTTAGCAAATTTTGTCTTTGCTCGAGATAGAAAATCCTTATTTACTTTCTGCGATGCCTGGAACAAAAAGAGTGATAAAGTTCCTTAGTTTGCTAGCAATCATTTCAGGTAGGCTGCAAAGCGAAGTTACTCAGGCATAGAAAATAATGAAAAATCTTTCCGATCTCATTTTCCTAATACATGAAATTACCGATTGCATTTCTCCAGTTATTAGTGCTACCTCAAACTCTGCGGGTACACTGAATGAATCCATTCGAATTTGAATGCAAAAACATCACGAACAAACTCGGTGAATTACTGCCTAGTAAATGAAATTCACGGAACTCAGTGTTATTCTCTTAACATCATCTCGAACTACAAAATTTACAGGTGTTATCAGCCGCGAATCAAGCGAATCATCACCGATGTTCCTGCCACGGAAAACAACTTCTGTGGGCAGCAAATTTAAGTGTGCAGCCTGACCGTATTTGGAATGTTGTCTAATTTTTCTAAAACAGCAGTCAAATTTTGCTACAACATTAATAGTTTTGAGGCCAGGTTTAAAGACCCCTTTTAAAAAGATTTATAATTACATACTAAGAACCCTTTTAATGGAAAAAAGTTTAAAAAATAATTATAGCCCATTACGAATGGAAATATAAGAGCAGAGACAGAGCAATATAGGTATTCCAGGCTTCACTGACAAGGTCAGACTTATTTTGTCAGTGGAGGCGCGCTGGAGAGGGTATTCAAACTAGTAGAATAATTCCTTTCATACCCCTTGTTTCTATAGCAAAGCTTCATTACAAACGGAGAAGCATTATAAATATTTACTAAGACCATACCCAATAAAAATTAAACATGAACCATCCAGGACCAAGGAAATAAATTCAAATTAAGGTACGTAGAAGCATGTAGAACAGACCGTCGACATCTGTGTCCCCAAGAAATGAAGCAAGGAATTTATTTCACTCTTTTGCAGCCAGTCAGCAACTTAGGCTCGCGTTTGACTTTATCAGCAAGAAAGCCTGCGTTTCAGCTTTTTAATGCTAATTATATTATTTTTATGTTTTTTTTTGGGGGGGTCGCTTTTTTCCTTTTTTTAAATAGACCTGCTTCAAGTATTCTGCATTATATTTTACCATGCAACCATTTAATTAGTACGCGCTCTCATAGGCGCATTCCTAGGACTATCGAGAGTAATTAAGTCAGTTTTTAGTTATTGTTATTCATGCAAATCATAATGCATTTCATTTAGGGTAAACGAGATCATGAGTGCGCCTAAAAAAAACATTTGCGAGCGAAATATATCATTCAAACAGCAAAAATAGGCCCGAAGAGGACAAACAAATTTAAGCTAAGAAAAAAATAGCTTCACGGAAAAGGTGAACTGTCCGCAAACTCCGAGTTCACGGAAGATGTAAACCGTTCGCAACTTGCTCTGTCACAAATTCCGACAATGTTGGTATTCTAAAGTATTTTAATATTTCTTATAATTTGCCTGACCAAGATGAAGAATCTTCATGTATCATCCCCAAACAGTTTAAAAGTCAGAAATTGAGAGAACAACCTTTTTTATGTACGACCTAAAACGAACGTAATCAACTGGAGGACGTGAAACTAGGATATAAAGAATCTCCTCATTTAGGTGGGGATGGGCAGCAGGAAGATGAAGACTTGAAAACTTTTGATTTGTCGGACCCAGGCAGTTGGTCAGTCACAGAAAAAAATGAGCTATCAGCAATGATTTTCTTTAGCAGTCAAGCTGCATTACTAACGGGAAAACATCCAGAAAACGTAGACCTTAGATCCACTGAATTTGATGATACCATTTTACATTTTCTATAGAATCTAATGAATATTAGCAAATAATGAAAAGCTTAGATGATCTTGGCTTATATATTTTAAAATCGAAAATGCAATTTTTGTAGAGCCTGCGAGGTTTACTACAAACATGCTGTTGCCGTTACATCAGCGTTATGTATCACAGGATTCATTAATTGGAAAAAGAATGCTTCATGAAGATTAATTGAGCCCGAAGCATCTAAAATCCACAGAGAGTGCATATTTAAGAGGAAAATTCGAGCGCAATAAATGAAATTGTGTCAGGGCACCAAACACAATACTGAGCGATGAATTCCCATGAGGAAAAAAAAACTGGATAAAAATCCTGCATAAAGTCATGGATGCTGTATTGTATCTTTCAACAAACTCTCTTTCTTTCCGTAGGTCTGAGGGAACTTTTAGCATCCTCTCAAAAATATCCTCAGCTTGGTCAATGATATTTTTCAATTTAGTTTCTGCTTGCGAAACATAATTCAACATTTAAGTACCAGTTACAGCACCTAAAAAAGGGGCAGTTATCATATTTATCAAAGAAAATTTGAAATGAAATGATTAGCATAATGGCGAAAACAGTTCGAAATAAAATTTTAAACGATATCAAAGAAGCCAAATACCACACAATAATGTCCGATTCCACTTCAGATATATCACATACAGAACAGATGAGCCAGGTGATTCCATCCGAAATAACGTGGCACACTGATTGAATAGGGCTTCAAAAAGAGTGCTGAAACGAGCATTGTTGTTAATGAACTGACCGATGAGATGTGGTGAAACAAAGAATACAGACTCTCAGTTATCCTAGATTATCGGTGAGCACGGTCTGGGCACACCTAGGGTTCACCGTTTGATTTTAGGCAAGATTTCCAGGTAAAAATTTAAAACTAATAAAGAATAAGAAGATTAGCATACAGCCAAAAAAATAACATAGAAATTTCTTTTCAAACAATTCCTTTTATACCCTAAAAAAAAAAAATCTGGAAGATTCTTTGAAAAATGAGGGTCTTGAAAAACTAAACATGGCTAAAATATATGGACTGGCTTGTGTTGAGCTGCCATCTACTATAAATAAAGAAGGTTCAGAGTAACCTATAAATCCTTTTTCATTCAATTTTTCTGTGCGTACAGAAGGAAATTTTTAGGTGTGTCCAGATAAGACACACTGTGCTGCAAAGGGTTAAAGTTGGTTGTAAGTTTCAAACTGTAACTTTTGGTAAACTTTAAAATTTAGTTTGGTTGCTTTAAAAGTTTTTCTTAAAGGAAGTTGGCTAACTTTATTTGAGTTTAGGGACTTACGGGTTTACTTGGTTTTTGTACTTGTTTGTTTTGACCCTTAAGGTTGTTTAACTTTTAACTTTTTTAAAAAGTTTTGTTGCTGCACTTTTGGCGTGTTAATTTTAATTTTATTAAGATAGTTTTATTTTTACCCCCTCTTTCTATTAAAGTTTTCTTGAATTCATATTTTCCGACTGGTGGTAAGGTCAATCAATTGTAAAAGAAACTCAATCTTGAAAATGAATATGTATACTTATTTCTTCTGAAGAAACAATTCATTGTGTGTGTATTTCATTAAATTGAACTTAATTGTCAAATAATAGTTAAATTTACAGTACTAAATTTGTTAATTGTGATGAAAACTCTATTCACTGGTTCAGCAAATTTACCATCCAAAAATTGTTGGCTTGGAATTCGCTTCTCAGAATTCCTTATCTGGGGATTGCTGTGCCCTGAAATTCCTTTGCCAAGTACACTTCACCATGTGTGCTGCTTAGCATAATTCTGCACCTTTTTCATCAGAGTTCTCTAGCACAGAGATTTTCAATGGGAAATTTCTTATGGGGGGTGAAAAATTGTGACCGTTACGCCTTTCCAATTGTTAGATTGAGAGCCCCCGATGCGAGGCTAGTTTTCCTCTTCCTTTCTGTGGAGGGATTTTGACCTCGCACCGTGGCCTTGGAGGGCTGCACTGCTGGATAGCAATGGGTGGCAACATCTGGTAGCCAGAGAAGTTTTTCCCTTGAAGATTTCATCACATCCTTCTTTGGGGCTGCCATGCTCGGTGACTTTTACTACACCATTCTTCGCCAATTATTCAAGATCTCGCCAATGGACAAAAGCGTTTGCTGTGTAGTTGGAGGGAGAGAGATGTGAGAAGACCAGAACTTCGAGGTGACATCACGACAGGGCTGGCGAGAAGTGAGCTGCTGCGAAGGAGAGCATGCACCTGAACTGAACTACTTGGAGAGTTGCAGTGGGTTTTGAAATTTAGAAGGATATGCATTCTACCATCGCCATAGCTGACCTGAAAGAGATTCGAGACGTAGACGAGGATGAGACAAACATTTAAACAACCTGCAGAGAAGAAAGGCATACTGATACAATAATTCTTGCTTATATCCTGACATAAGAATGGCAGGTGGATTTGGGAAGACCAGTGTTCTGCCAGTTGGAAGCGGAAGAAAGGAGAGGAGTCTGGCCTCCGAAACAGTTGCCTTCGACTAATTTTATTTCATATTTTCTTTTTCTTCTTACAGATGAATTTCCCAACGTATGGTAATTATTCTCTGCTTCATGATTGTTATCCTGCCATTATTTTCCACCTGTATCAAGTATTCAAATTTTGTATGATGGGGGACCTATCCACGAATTGTGAAATTTTATATATGTTAAAGGTATGTTTTTCCCCCTTTTTTTTTTCCCGTTGTTTCTTCAGATATTTAGATGACTAGCCACCACTAATTTAAAATTTAACTTTTATTCTGAAACTTGTCACCATCAATGAATGTTAGATTGTTTTCTTACCTTTGGTATTTGTTTTAACTTTAATTAAATTCATGACACTGGACCTTCTTTATAATTAACTGAGTTATTGCATACTTCACAACGTAACCTATAGTTGTTTGAAACTTCTGAATTGTTTTATTGTTTGTGTTCCCTCTGATAAATACACAAATTTTTCTAGAATGTAATTTACACAGTATTGATGTCATATTACACTATCATGAAATACTCTGAGAAATGTTGTACTGAAATTGAACATATTTACCCATTACCAATTCACCAGTTTACAGTATGTGTTATTATTTACACAGTGATGCTGATATGTTGCACAGTGATGTTGTTAAATGATTAAATGAATATTGTTATATTGTTCTACACTTAATACAGAACAAAATGTAATCATGTTTTGATGTTCACTTATTGATTTAATTTCAATTCATTCAAACTTATGGTAACATGTAAACATTTATTAGCTACCATAGGATTATATTAAACATTTATAATTTAATTTCAAAAGTTTGGCAGTGTTGATTGATTTATGCTTATTATTCATTCATTTAAATATTTATGGATATTCTCTTCATAATTTAAAATAAAAATTCAAAGAAAAATTTTTTCCCTTAATTTCTTTTTATTTATAGTTGTACTAAGTGTAATAAAAAGTCAAAACTGCATTATGTCTTATTCACATAAAATTTTACAAGAGAAAACTATTCACTTGATTTTGCAGGATTCCTTGAAAATGTGCCTGAAACAAATTAATAAAAATCAGTAATGTATACAGCACTGAAAATTGCAAAATACAACTAGAAATCAGGAAACATACAGCATGCAATTGACTACTTTTGGTTATTCACTTATTTTTAGATGACGAATCTAAAATTGATTGTTTTTTCACGCCATTTTATTGTATATTCAAATTTAAAAATAGCATTTCAATGGCATCATCTAAGAAATAAATAATTGATTATAAGCAATAGCTTGCATAATACAAGATTACCAAAAACCCATTTGAATATCTTGAACTTAATAACTGCACAGTCTGTGTGACAAGAACATTGCAGTAACTTTTAAATTTGAGTAAAATTTACTTAAATATGTAAGACATTTAAGTGGTATTGACACATGAACTTCAATGATCCAAACAATAAGAAATATAATTAGATTGGTTTAATAAATAATAATAATACTTATTCTAATGATATCACTGCATATGCTAACTGCATTTTTGTCTAATAAAAAAACAAATCATTCATCACTTATTTGCTTTTCTTTCTTTCATGAAGGCAATATAAAAGCTAAAACAGGTATTCGGGGAGATATTTTAGTTTACATGTGAAATTACAGGAAAATTATACAGTCTGGTAGTCAGTCCCCTTAATGTTTAAAATTACATAGTTTGGTACTCGCCAATGGTCATCCTAGAGAGTAATGAGTTTTCAGATATAATTGTTACCAGGCTAAATACTTCACCAAATTTACATAATTCCCAAACTTTGAGCACACACCTCAACATTCTCACCATCTAGCAACCCTGTATGCTGCTCAGGTTTTTTGAAAACATTCTGTTACACTCACTCACAGAATTATACTTGATATGATAATACCTTTCTGGCTTTTATAAATATGGGTATTTGGGATTTACCTACACATCAGAAAGATACAGTTGAAATGTTTAAGGAATCTTCTTACCAGCCATCCGCTGGTAAGTTGCCATAGTACTTCAAGTAAAAATTTAGCCAATATGTGAGTATTCAAACAAGGAATTGTTTCAAAAGCACATAAATAAAGCAGTGGTGGACTTTATTTTAAAATTATAAAAAATTGTTAAAAATACTGAGAAAGTAACATCTATTCAGATTGCCTAAAATGCCTATAAAACAAGTGAAACAGAAAAATCTGAATTTCTGCAAGGTACACTGAATGCAAGTATAATTTTGTAGATCCTGAAACGTCTGTCCATACTCTAAGTGTATATTGAATGTGGGTCTTTCATTTATATGGCATCCAGCTTAAGTTGTTTAGGAAGAAGATTTTTTTAAATCAGTGTTAAAAGCGATAGTCAAAAGATTTCAACCAGAAAAAAAAAAAAAAATGTGCCGAATAAGCCAACCACGTTGCATTCACACATAAGAATCAAACAATGTAATAATACTGAATCTTAAAAAGTCTTGAAAAGTAATTACTGGTTACATTCTGTGATACTGAGAAGAGCTGTTAGAGTATTTGTTGTGGAAAGTTCAGCATTTCATGTTACATTATACAAAACGTACTACAATTTTAAATATAACTTTACTAAAATTATTTACATATAGACAAAAATTCGTAACAATATACATCCAGATATTGCCAAGTAACACTGTAACCATGAATTTAATAGCTGTAGAGGACACTCATGGATTCTGCTTGGCTACAGTAACAATAAATCAATCTTCAGAAAGGTTTGTAACCCATATACCTGTCTCCAATACTCAAAAAATTGCCAAATGATCAATGTCAAAAAAAGAGAGCAACATGTTTGATTGATTGTCCTGCTTCAATGTGTCTGACAGCTCATCAGTGCTCACTGTCTGTCATATGTCTGTTTTAAGCCACAGAAACATTAATATCACAAAAAATATCCTATGAAAGGTTATAAACACTTTGCATCAGCATTTAATTGAGCCTTCTCAAACATACTTTAAGACAGTCAATCTTGAAAAAAGGACTGAAATACACGATATTTGTACACTACTATATGCATCCGCAGCAATTTTCAGCCACTCAAATTCAATTACACATTTGAAACTGCTAATATGCACCACTTACTTAACTTTTTGAAGCAGTGTAAAACAGTTCCTAAAATGGTCTTTTGGTTACTAGAATGTCTTAAATGGTAATGAATTTATTTGCCATATAATCTCAAAGCTTGAGCTCATATTTATATTTTCCATGTTACACTGATAATTTGTATATATCAATTACATAACTAAATAAAGTGCCATTTGCTCCTTCAAATTTCTGCCAGAATGACTGGTGCTAGTTTTGCAGGATATCTGCCAATTTTTATGCTGGATGTTATCCAATTTTCATAGTCGAAATGGAAATTTGGAAGTACAAAATAATCTATTTTTACTGGAGGATCAGAAAAACTAACTATTAATAACTATAAATATAATCTCTGTAAACCTATTCATAATATCTTTAAAAATACAAACTGTCCAAAATATGAAATATTTGTTCTACAGTTGTTGCACTGCAACTTCTTCAATAGGATATTAGCACAGTTTAAATAAAAATAATAATAACAAAAAAGCCACATTTAATATGTAATATTACTACATTACCTAATGGAGCAACATAATAAAATTCTTCTGTAACTGGAGCTGCTTTCATCAGTTCTTCCCTATTACTTTTCTGTAATACTTCATCAGCTTGCAAATTTTCATTTCTAAAATAAATTAAATAATAGCTTTAAAAACATTTTTTTTTAAATATATAATAAATAATATAATATAAATAATGTGCCATTATATAATAATAACATATAAATAACACGTTACCCCTTGACCTTTCATTATCATAATACACATATGCAATATATGGAAGTTATTATGCTAATTTATTAATTTTGAAACCAGAATCAATTGATAATCATATTTTGTCTATTTCAATTACTCTTAAGTGCTACACCTTTATTTGTGACTTCAAGGATGCTGAAATTCTGAAATTTGATGAACTTTTCTAACTTTTTATGTCGCTTTATTAAAAGGGGGGATGTGTTGTATGGATATTCAATCTGATGCAGTCCCTTTGATGAGAAGGTACGAAAAAATGTTTAAAAAAGTCTTGTAAAATATGCTATTGTCTAAATAAATACTTTTGTATCTTTTCATCCCAGTTTCTGGCAAATGATATTTCATTTGAAAGAACCTACATATTCTCTCACATGATCAGTGATAAGATAAGGGATATACAGAACAGAGGAAAATATTTCAGTATTCTTCAAGCATGTAAATTAACATGGATCATTGTAAAAGTCTTAAAAATAAGGAAGTTGCACAAATTTTCCTGATTTAGATGAAAAGGAATCAGAAGAAGAAATATCCAAGTACTGTGAAGATTTTACTCCACAAAAATTTTAAATACATAGTGATTCTGAAGCTGATGAAAAACACAATGAAAACCAACTTTGGTTTCGCTACAAAAATTCCTTAAAAGTAGACATGTAATCATGCAGCCATAAAGAAAACTGAAAAAGAAAGATAAGTGAAAGGAATTTAATTTCACAAAATACTTCATATAACATAAGTCTGCATATACTGCATTTCAAATTACTATAACTTACAAATTTTACTTTTTGTTCATGTTAACTATGCATATTTCATGGATGTATTTTCCTGTATTTAACTTTGTTGTAATAATGCAATAATATTTTTTATTTAATATGCCTTCTAGGATATCATTACATACGCTCACAAAAAGCATTAAATTTCCCATTATACAGTCAAAAGTCGTTAATCCGGACTCATCGGGACTTCGGCGATTCCGGATTATCGATTTTTCCGGATTATAGATCATCAGTTTAAATCTGGTAAGATGGTATGCAGAAATTACAAAATTAAAAATATGAAACCGTAATTTATGAAATAAAGAACAATTATGATCTAAAGGGTATCAAAATTTACAAAAAGAAAAAGCTTAATATTTGTTTACTTTATTAAACATTTCCTTCAATGTAAGTTGCTTCGTTTCATGTGATAATACTTTCTCTTTAATTCTATTAAACAGACATAATTTCTTGCTTAGTTACAAAGTTCCGCTGTTCAAGTCCTATAATTGCTGTGTTGAGAATACCGACTAATTTGTCAATCGAAATGTTTTCGTTTTCAATAACCTCTGGGTCACTTTCTTCACTATCGGAAGCGAATTATAATGACGAGGAACTTGATTTAAATCATATCAAAGACAGAATGAAATACTACACTTAGTATGGAATTATAAACCAAATAAAATAAAAACATCTGCCCTGAAGATAAGGATAGTGCTGACAGATCAACTTCCAATCCGCCGCGTGAAATTGATAAACAGATTTCGGATCTCAAAACATACTTTCGCTTTGTAGATACAATTACATATTAGTAAATATATATCGGAAATTCTATTTGACATAATCTTTCTAATCTATCATAATCTAATAATGACGTTTCTGCCCCCCCCTCTGCCGCAGAGCAACGTGAAATTGATAAACAGATTTCGGATTTCAAAACATAATTTCGCTTTGTAGTAAATATATATCGGAAATTCTATTTGACATAATCGAAAGTTCAAGCTTACTTTTATAAAATTGCTCTAACAGTCTGCAAAAAATAATAAGCCGGATCCAATTCGAAGATTAAGGAACAACGCAATCGGCAACATGAACTGAATTAGATAACTTTAGCTTAGCGTATAACTCCGTTACAATTTAAACGCGCATGCGCACAAACATATTCGCAGCCGTAAGGGTCTTACGCGCTCTCGTAAACGCCTGTGCGCATGCGTGAACGCGACGCATGAGCAGGAAGTTTGTAGCTTTGAGGTCCGGATTATAGATCATTCCGGATTATGGGTGTCCGAATTAACGACGTTTGACTGTACTACATTTTAATGTTATTTCAAATGCCTGGACATATGCATCTTAATGCACTAAACAGAAATAGTCAATACCCACTGATCATTTAAGTGTATCATCATCTTAATGTTAGCCAAGATGCAGGGGAAAAAAAAGAAAGAAATGACAGAGCTGTTGTTTGTTATATAGTCTTTTAGTGAGTAAAATACTTATTATGAGTGATGGTTTTTTTACAAGCTGCTTGTGTGATCAGTCTTCGGTCTGGCACGTAGTTGGTTTGATTAATTAAGACATGCCAAACCCAAATGTTGGTTTAGTTGACAGAAAAAAATGCAGCTTAAATTGAAGTACCAGGTGTACACCAAATAATTTTAATCTGGTAACCTTACTTTTTTTACTTCTCAGTAATGATTTTATTCTGCCAACTTTACCTTTTCAATAACCTAAATCAATGGGATTGGGAGATATTTCTCTTATACATTATCTGTTCTGAATGCTATTTATTTAATTTTTAAAACTTCAAAAATAGGGCCCCTTTTTTGCTTTCATTATGTACTTGGCTGTTTCCATTTATCTTCAATGATTGTGATCATAATGAATACAAATTTTTATAATTTTGAATGATTATGTTTTTTATATAATGTATATAATTTATATTACACATTACATTTACATTTTTATATAATTTTGAATATATTTTGTTTTTATATAATTTGAATTTTTGAAGAAAATGTCTAAGTTACACTGATGCATGATAATGGATTTAACTGCAAATAAGGTTAAATGTTCTGCAATGTACAAAGGAGAGATGTGTTTGGTGGATAGCTCATACAAAGGTTTGAAGTTGCGATACAAAATTTGTGCAATTCTATGATGTTTTTTAAGCAAAAGCAGATTGTTATGTGCATGGCGAGAACAGTATAAAAAAAGTTAGATGGATTTCACACACACATAAAAAAAAATGTATGATACAAGTCTTATTTAATAATTAAAATTTATATTTTAAAATGCTAAAGAGAATTTTCTTTGATATAATGATAATGTTTACTAATTTAAAATAAATATTGGCAGTTTGGCAACTAAAGATCTAGTTTTTTCCTCCAAAGGATGAGAATGTAATGAGAGATGTAATGAGAATATGTAAAAATGATCATAATATGAAATTATATGTTGGAAAAGAAACCGTCTGCTGGTCACTATATAATAATGTCATGTTTTAGGAGCATTTTAATAAGCTATATGTATTCTAATGTTACTCTACATAATACTGCTTTATTTGTTACATACTTTATGGATATGTTGTAGTGATTTTGAGTATGCTTCTGTATGTTGTTTAGGTTAGTGGTTATTCTAGAGTGCCCCTTGGATTATCGCCAAGTTGTTGTTTTATTAATGGTAGTTGAATATTATGGAAACCCTATTATTGGTTGCATGACTTTAGTGGATTTGAACTGATGGGAAAATATTTGCAAGGGCTTGTTTCTGTGTTGGATGTCAGGAAATATGTTGCGTATTTTAAGCTTTGCATCGTAAAATGGCTGACGGTGGTAATCTGGATGTTTGGTGGTATAGAACAAGAGAGCAGTATTTGTTTGTTTTGAAGTGGTTGAGGACAGAAGGAAAGAAACTTTGTTGGATGTAATTGAACGGAATATTTTACCTGGAACAATGATCATATCCAACTACTAGAAGTCGTATGATTGACTTTTTGATAATGGCTTCGTTCATTTCTCAGTAAATCAAGTAGTGACATTTAAGGATCTGGAAACTGGATCTCATATTTATACTATCAAAGGTATGCATATCCAACTACTAGAAGTCGTATGATTGACTTTTTGATAATGGCTTCGTTCATTTCTCAGTAAATCAAGTAGTGACATGTAAGGATCTGGAAACTGGATCTCATATTTATACTATCAAAGGTATGTGGAGTGTAATAAAAAGGGATTTTTGGAAAAAATGCAACCGATAGTCCCCGGCACTGCGGAAGATATTTTTTACTCTTATGTTTGCGAATTTATGTGGTGAGGGCAGTATGCATATTTTAGCTCAGATAATTTTAGAAAGGTTTTGGATGCTGTTAAGGATTTTGTAAGCCACAGACTGAAGACACAGAAATTGCTAAATATGGTAAGTAGATATTTCCTTTTTGCAGTGTATATATGCAATAACATGCATTTCCTTTTTTATGTTATTTCATTGTGTGATTTAAAATGCAGTTTATTCAGCTTTGACTGGCTACAAATTTTTTTCAGTTTTGGTGATGAGTAACTTTGTTTTAACATTATATGACATCATCATTCTGATGATTTTTTTTTTAAAGTGAACATAGATCAATGTGTACATGGACAATCTCAAGAGAATGAGCAATGCCAAGTGTACATGGACACCGAGTCTGTGCAATTCTGACTTGTTATTTTGGTTTTGTGTAGTGGCCATCTTGAAATTGTGTCTTGCTGGCCAAGGGGCATCCTGAAATATATTTTTATCATTGTTTATTTTAAATAAATTGCTTAAAAAGAGAAATACAAATTTATATCAAACTGCATCTATATAGTAAATAAACTACGTACAGTAGATAATGAATAAATTGGTAGTATGGATAGGTGTATTTCTTGCCAAGGTTGCTATAACTGATAAGTAGATTTATCAGTACTAGTCAGTTATAGCAGACTTGGGAAGAAATATACCATTTTACATCTACAAGCTCAGAAAAATATTTTGAAATCCTTGAAGCAATGAATCTTGTTGAATTCAAATTAGAACTTCAAAACGATAATCATCTACATAGATTATGCTATAAAATAATAATAATAATAATTCAGATTTTTGTTTACAATTTTTTTAGATGTAAAAATTTTTGGTGCTTCTTCATTACACTTGCCCCCAAGTTTGAATCATTAATCAACTAATATCTTGTCACTCGTGAAGTGTGAAGATAAAAATAAATGACACAACATACAATTATAACAATAATACTCACATGTTGCTTCCTAAGAATATTTTTAATAATCATTATGACGAGACCATATTTCCAAAACTGCTTTCAACAATTCATCAAAATCAGAATTTTTTCTATGTACTTCCTCTACATAAATTCCAAAATATATGATTTAAGGTGTTATGCCCTAATGTTTTTTATTATGCCACTTGACTAAACCGCACATTCTTTCCACATTTTGGGTGCGAACATCTGTTGTTGGATCTACAAAATTCTACTTATAGTTCACCGTAAAGTGATTGCAATCAGTTCCTTCAGGTTGCTCCATTTTATATCCTTTCCAGCAGTCTGAATAGACTGTTGATATATCTTGTACATGTTGAACAATTTTCTCCTTAAGCGAACTACCGTCTCTATTTCGGATTTAAATGACAAAGTACCCATCCTCTCCCTGGCATATTCCTAAAAAAATCCACTGTTGTGGGAGTACTCTGCTACTGTTGTTCTTACTTCAGATGAAGAAACTTTCATTGATTTCAACTATTTTGGGGGTACTGACTATTCACCCTTTGAATCTTTGCATTAGATGTAAAGAAACACGTCCTGCATGTAATTGTTTCAATCATTTGCAGCATTTTCAAGCATATTAAATTGCTTGTCTCACCATCTGAGGGATAACTTCTCTGTCCAAGAATACATAAATCTGACAGCAGTGATGAATGATATTCTTGAGTCACTAAATCAATTTCCAGCATGGATGCCCTTCTTTCTTTCACAATTTTTAACACTGCACTTCCAAATAGCACAAATCATGTTGTGCTTATTTTGGCATACTCTCTTGTCACGTAAAAGACCTCTTCTTTGAAAAAATGATACGGTATCCACCTATTTATTTGGTAAATTAGACTATTCACACACACACAAGGGGGGAAAAAGGGGAGGGGCAAATATTTAAAAAAAAAAAAAAACCCTAACGTGGAAAAAGAAATATTTTTAAAAAACTAATATGAATTCATAGCACTTAACAAAAATGAAATATGATATTCATATAAGAAGAGAGCATAAATGCAACATATAGTGAGGCTTAAGAACACTTGGTAAGATATCTCAGTTGATTACAGATTCAGTCTTGGGGGGGGGCACTATAATAAGGAAGTACTGAATCTTTCAAGAAACTTTAATTAAGAATTTAAAAATATTTATAAATGACCTTGAACCATAGCATATTTTATATGATATATTAATACTTCTAATAACATCTACACAAAAACAATAAAATAATTAAGAAACCAGAATTTCATACTAATTGATTATAAAAAAAGCCACAAAAGAAAGCTCAACCATTTAAAAGTATTTTAATATCATAACTTAAAACAAGAATAAATGATTATCAATATAAATAATGGAAAACAACATATTCTGTACACATACATTAATTTAGAAGTTCATAAAATATTTAAATATATGTATTACACGACAAGTTCTTTTTTTTTTTTTTTACCTTTCATATACTGTACTTATGAGAGGTTCTATCCCTGTGGTGTCAACTTCCATTAGTCTATCAGCAAACTGTATGGATTTTTCTAGTCTCTCTATTCCGGCTGCAGTAGAAAAATCGACTAAAGCATGTCGTTCAAGACTTTCGACAACATCTTTATTGACAGCATTCTTGAACATGTAAAAGACAGATTATTAGCTTTTATATATGTATTACGCAACAGAACTTTATATATATATTTTCGATACACATAATATATGTGCATGTGTAACTTAAAAGCTGAAAGATACATATATAACTCTTTCAGTTTTTTACTTCGTAACAAACATAGGAAAGACCAAGAGATACACCAGTACTTACTTTATGTAAATAAAACACATCATTTTAAAAATACATTACAAAAATGAAAAAAATAACATGTCTTACGAAGGGAACAGTAACAGAAAATTTTCTGAAGACAGACTGAGAAATACTACTTTTAAAATTAACAGAGGTGAATATTTTCCTCGTAACAATCATAATCAATGCACATTGTAACAGACTACGATTTGTTTACTTTCATGCACGAAGTCTTTCGCTCTTCGAAGGAAGAGGTATATCAACAAAACGAGTTGAGCTGAGAATTATTGCTGCTAATTCGCTGTTGTATTCTTGTCCGTTGCTATGTGAATGCAGTTTTATCTAACGTTCAAATTTTTATCGCAGAAGTTAAATTCTTGTGACATAGCCTAGAGATAAAAAACTGTCGTTTGATTAGCAAGAGGAATGATGTGAAATATTGAATGGAAGCAATCTGTCAGTGCTTCGTTTTTTTTTTTTTTTTTTTGGTCCCAGAAGTTGCACTACTAAACTCGCTGGGGTGATTTATTTTTGTTGTAGTTTACAAACAAACATCACTGAGACAATGGATTTGTTATGGAAGAAAGCAGCATTGCCTACAATTGAAGATTTTGCTAAAGATCTCATGGTTAAGAAAAATTTGACTGCTGAGTTGGGTCGAACTATACGTGTACTTCAAGAGGAAAATTTAGGTAAAGCTATTATTATTGACGACGAAGAATGCGTAAATAATTTTTGTTATGCTTTGGAGGCAATATTCATACATGGCTTGAAGTATAAATTGTCAGCTAAAGTATCTTCTGTATTCGGAAACAACAGTGAAAAAATGCCGGAACCTGAGTTCTGGTCAGTTGTGTGCGATTTTAGTCACAAAAATGTTATTCTTGATATAAAAAATCTTAGTCAGATTACTACTGATGTTGGCCGAAGTCGAGCTTGGTTACGAATAGCTTTGAACGATGGTTTGATAGTTAGCTATGTTAGTGCTATGCTGTCTGATAAATCTAAATTACAGAGATATTTTACTCCTAATGCATATTTAAGAGATGAGGAACAATCAGATATCATGAAACAATTGTTGGAGGGTACGAATGTATTTCATTTTGAGTTGTCTTGCAATAATAGTGCTCTAAATGTGTGGAGTTGTTGTCCTTTGACTCTTGCCGATCTTTGGACACCTCCTGTATCTGCACAACCTGTAATGCCAGCGGTAGACGTGATTGACTTTTTCACTGACCAAAAAAATGTGATCAAAAACTCTTCAAAAAATTCTTCCCCCAGTTTGAAAACAAAGACAGAAGCTGTTGCAGCACGTACAGATATTACTGTTGCACATTCTTCTCAACAATTTTTTTCAGAATCAGACTCACAAGAGATGCAAAAAAGTACGGAGCTTGAAGAAACAAATAATTTAAAATCTCTTACTGATTGGGAAGATGTAACTAATCTCAGTGAAAAAAACGGCGAGAACAACAGTTCACATAATGCCGAAAATATTCTGAACGAGGAAGGTATAGCAGATGAGTTATCTGCTCTGAAGAACTTAGAGGTATCTGACATTCATAATTTAGATGAGACAAGCTCTAAGATCTCCTCTTCCGATTCTGTTCCTGATTTTGGCTTAGAAATTATTGAAAATATTGCTGAATCAAGTCATGTTGGCTCTATGGGTAACAAGCTGAATGAAAAGTCTGGTTGGTCATCTGAATTTGATTATGAAAGCATTCAGAGAGATTGTGAAGCTGACCAAAGTTATGATTCATTGCTGCAAAGCTATAACAAAAATCTGAGTAAAGTAGTAATTGGAACACCAGAACTGGCTGAAACATTCTCTTCTGTTATGGAGACATCTGAAGATAGTAGTTGCAATGTAATTACTTTTTATTTAGATTAGATTTAAAATAAGTGTGTGTTTCTGAAATAAGCAGGTTTAAAGTCAAAGTTATATTAGTATGCTTAAAAAAATTCTTTTTGGCAGCTTAATTTGCTATTATTCATGTAGATAAGTTGAAATTACCTACTTACAAAAGATACAAACAATGAATGCTAGAGTTAAACTATAATTTGTTTTATTGTATAAACCTTATCACTTGTGCCCAAAAGTTATTTCTAAAGAAAGATCATATCTTTCCCCAAATATATTGTGATATTTTTGTTGAATTTAATGCCCCCCTCCATCCAAAAAAAAGCTTAATTTTGCTCATTTACTAAAATTAACTGTAGATTTGATTACATTTTCCCTCTATAGTGGAATGTATTTGTTTACCTTGTGCACATACAATGCATTATGTCAAATAATTATAGATAATGTAAAATATATGTACAGTCAAAAGTCGTTAATTCGGACCTCAAAGCTACAAACTTTCTTTGACGCATGCGCATAAGACCTTTACGGCTGCGAATATGCATGTGCGCATGCGCATAATACGTTCACGAATGAGCTTTTAATGTATAACGGACGGTATAAGCTAAGCTAAAATTATCTAATTCAGTTAATGTTGCAGATTGCGTTGTTCCTTAATCTTCGAATTGGATTCGGCTTATTATTTTTTGCAGACTGCTAGAGCAATTTTATAAAAGTAAGCTTGAACTTTCGATTATGTCAAATAGAATTTCTGATATATATTTACTAATATGTAAAGAATCTACAAAGCGAAAGTATTGGAAGTCTATTAAACAAAAAGTGGAATTGCTGCAAAAAATGGATAAATTCATATCCTTTGTTTATCTAATCGTTTGTTTATCTTTAACGCCGCGGCGCGCAATGAATTGGAAGTTGATCTGTCAGCACTATCCTTATCTTCTGGGCAGATTTCATTTGGCTTTTTCATTTCATTTCATTTGGCTTATAATTCCTTACTAAATGTAGTATTCTATCTCGATGTACTACGTCTTTGATATGATTTAAATCAAATTCCTCGTCATTATAATTCGCTTCCGATAGCGAAGAAAGTGACAGAGGTTATTGAAAACGAAAAAATTTCGATTGACAAATTAGTCGGTATTTTCGACACAGCAATTATAGGACTTGAACAGCAAAACTTTGTAACTGAACAAGAAATTATGTCTGTTTATAGAATTAAAGAGAATGTATTATCACATTAAAAACGAAGCAACTTACATTGAAAGAAATGTTTTATAAGTAAGCAAATAAATATTAAGCTTTTTTTTTTGTAAATTTTTTGATACCCTTTAGATCATAATTGTTCTTTATTCATAAAATTACGGTTTCATATTTTTAATTTTATAATTTCTGCATGCCATCTTACCAGATTTAAACTGATGATCTATAATCCGAAAAAATCGATAATCCGGAATCGGCGAAGTCCCGACGAGTCCGGATTAACGACTTTTGACTGTATTACCAGTTTGGCTGATCTTTACAATATGGTAACTGGTAGTTTGGCGACATTTTGGAGGCGATAAAGGTTACTACCTGGGACTTTGGTAATAATGTGAGCAGTACTCAGTTCCGATTACGCATTATTTTGTGTGAGGGAAATGAGAGATCATGTGATATGTCATGTGATATTAATGGACGAATTACGGTTCTTTAATCGGAAAAGGGGGGAAATCGGAAAAAAATCTGGAAATTTTGCATTTGCCTTTATTCTGTGTTGTGTGAAACAGTGTTCGTTAATTTTTGGATCCCATGGCCCTAACTAAAGTGAATTCAAAATGGGTATTTAGTGGGATTGAAAGGGGTAATAAGTGTTTCTTTAAGGTTGTGCGAGATAGAAGTAAAGATGTTTTATTAAGTTATTTATTTTACCTGGTACCTTGGTGTGAACTATAAGTATGATTTAAAGATCCTGAAACAGAAATAAGAAAAGTTTATCGGACACGTAATCAAGATTCTGAAGAAGAATAGGTAAGTTAGTATTTTTAATTATTTGAGGATATTATTTTTATGCATTGTTCTAAATCAATAAAAGTAAAGTAATTTGCGTAAACATGCATGGAAATAATTTAAATATTTGACACTAAGTATTTGTAACCATTTGTAATGAAGTAAAGGTATGAATTAGTTAGTGACATTTGTAATATAATAGATAATGTAGAGGTAAAAGTTTTTGGATATTTTATTTATTTTTTATGGGGAAATGTTCATATTTGGAAAGGGTATGTACTTTTTCGCGATCAGGTAATTTCATATATGTTCTTTTTACCGGGTTTAAAGATTCAGAAAATTGTTACGCATTTTCGTGAAATTTTTCTAATTTATGAGAAAAAAGCAGTGTACATGGATATAATGAAGAGTGTGTGCAATGCCATTTTTGTGTAATTCTGGGATGTTTTTTTAAGTAAAAATAAGTCGGCGTGTACATGGTTTATGTGTATGTGTTATTTTGAAAAACGCGTGAGTATGGTATTGTGCACTTTTCCCAATTTTGCAGTGAATATTTGTCATGATTAAGCAGTTTTGTTAGATAAAATTTCTACCATAAGTGTAATTCAGCTAGTAGATTGTTGGAAGAAGTGTTCAGGAGATAAAAAGAAAAGAAACATGTCTTTACTTCGTGAAGACAAAATGGCGGCGGGGAAAAAAAAATAGAGGGTTGCTGTAGGAGAGTTGGTCGCCAAAAAAATCGCCAAGTTACCATAATGTAAAGATCAACCGTGTGGTTATACTTGCTTGAAAAAGGTTGCATAAAGTATTGTATTTTCCGTCTAAAGTCAGGTAAATCATGTGTTATCATTAACTTTACCAAATAGGAATTTTTTACGTATTTTAAATACATTATTTTTATCACCCAGTTAATATTAATTCTGCATTTTAAATATGACATGTTTGATTTTATCCTAAAATTTACAGCTGATTAGTAGCTTAAAGAATGTAAAGAAAACCACTTTCATATAGTTTGTTAAAAGTTTTCTGTATTTTGTCTAGAGTTGCCATTTAAGTGAATTTTCAATCTGAAGAAAAGGAAATTGTTACACAAATTCAGATTTGGAAAATGAGCTGAGTGTCTGAAAAATGAAACATTGTAGTGCTCCTTCAAGTCGGAAAAATTCAGTGATAGAAAATGCTATGTGACTAGAAGTTTTGTTCTGGGCTTTATTGCAATTGTCTCAAACTCTTGGCTACATGTAAGGAACTCTTTTTTTTTTTTTTTTTATAGCAGAAGAAGGACTTTTAAGCACTTACGTCGATTTACAGTTTGAATTCTGTGGTGAATAATCCTCTGACTATCGAGAAAGATTTCCCCCTTGAGACATTAATACCTTGTTAGTAATCTCCAAACTATGGAGAAAACAAATCAACATTGATTTGATTTTGGATTTACTCTTCCTTACTATTTTAGGATAAGCTGCTTGTGTGTTTCTCTTAGCTTCGATATTTCATTTTCAGAGCATATTGTAAAGTCCAGGTTTTTTTTAAAAAAATCATTTATCTGTTTCTTAGGAGTATTCTTAATGTTTTACATTCATTCCAGATGATTCAAACATATTTTTTCTTTTCCAATTTTCAGTTAAATGTGCAGTGTCTTTAAAAGTGGTTATCAGCTTTCAGCAGTTACATAATCAGTTCTATGCCTTTTGTTGCCGATGCAATCTTTGCAATTCCTAAATTCTAAAATTGTGTCACTTGTAAATTCTGCCACCTTGTGTAGCCTGCAAACTTGTGCTTGCCATTAATTAACTGAGAAAAAAGTATTTAAGACAGATACAATGGCATTAAGAAAGTAAAAACAAGTTATCTGTTAATTAAGCGATCTGTTTTAAATCATTTTATTATGCTTGTAAAGTCAATGATTTGTTTAAAAATAAATGTATCTATAAATTATTTAATCATCATGATTTTGCGATAATCTTTGAAAAAAATGTTCCAGTTCCAATGAAAGCAGTTAAAAGATTAATTTTGAAAAGGGCATCTATATTATATAAGAGTGTTAAATATCAAGAAAGAGGACAGCATGGCTCACAAATATGGCATTTAGTTATTAAAAGAAAAATTTTAAATACATGAAGTTATGTGTTTTGAGGTCATATTAAGCAAAAATAGGCCCTTATAATAATTTAGCTTCTTTCAAATTTTTATCTGATATCTCATATAATGCAAATAATATTTTTGAATAAATTTTCAAATTACATGTAAAAAATGTAGTTATCAAGTATGAGATTTTGCTTTGAAAATTTTCTTAAGCGAGTCATTACTTGCTTTTTCTTGATTTCTGTTTATGTAATGACTAAGCCCTTGTGTAGTTAACCACTTAAAATAGTTAATATAAAAAGAAGAAAATAGATACTGATTTTAATGAATCCAATTAATGTAATTTCACAAGCTTAGCTGGTAATTATTCATACGAGTAGTTGAAATTATTCTTATTGCCTTTATATTATATAAATAATTTTTATAATTATATTTAATCAAAGTAAAATTTAATATCTTCTGCTTTGCTGAATGGCAACCCACTGCCAGGTAGAAAATAAAGATATTTTAATTTCATCTATGGCAGCATATTCCTTTTAAATGACTGAATTTGTTGATTAAATCCAGAAGACTATTATATTGTATTTTGTGAGTGGTAACATATATCTTATACATTGTTGAGGTTTCTGATTAAATTTGAAACATAAATAGCTTATGCTTTGCAGTGGCAACATAAAGCTTTTCTATCACTGAGTTTTTAATCAGATGTTTATTAAATTCATGCAAAATACAAAAAGGAAAAAAATTCAAAATTTGACCTTCTAGATTCATATTTAGGTAGAGCTACATGTGCTCAAAATTTGATGGTTGCAGGTGCTGTTATATTTCCATGATGGGAAGGACATAATGCATGGAGGCAGATTGTTCACTATATAATGAAGATTAACAAGATGTGAAATTAAAAAGGCTTATTATATGCATAATTATTTGAGATAACTGGCTATTTACTTGTAAGAACAACTACTCAACAATACCATTGAAGAGAAGATGCATATATTTTTGTTCCTAATGGGAAAACACTGTTGATGTATTAACTTAAAGCAGTCAGTCTGTGAATAATTTAAAAATGGTACTCCTCAGCAGTTGGTTGTTTTTTAATGTATGTTAGAAGTGTAAATATTGTCGCAAAGTATTCATTGTCCGAAAATACCTTATGTGTTAAGAGCTTCAAGAGTCATAAAATACAGAATCTTTAGATGAATATTTAGCTATAAGAAATTTGAATATTTTGGAAATCAGTAATGTTGACCTCTAATTTTATTTTTCTGAAAGAGAAAATTTAACTCAAATTTATCACTAACATGTAGCACGTTACAAAATTACCAGACTGTATGTGCTTTGTGTGTCTTTACAAGTGAACAAATTTGGTACCTAGAATGCTAGAAATTTTCTGGCAAGTCGGTTTCTATAAAATTAGATTGTAAATGTTTCAGTGGCCATCAAGAACTGTCTCATTTGAACCCCAGCCCCTAGATTTTTTTTTCTGTGGAGATACATCAAGAATTTTGTACAAGACAAATAATTTCAAGAAAGTATTCTCTGTGAGAATTTGTGATGCTGTTGTATACACTGTAACTCATGAACTATTTACTCCCTGTTGTCTGCAGCATTGCACAAAAATGTAATGGTGTATATTTTTTAATGTTTTTTGAAATATATCTTCATTATGTTTTTGAAAAAAAAGCATTGATTTATAAAGAACCAATGTAGAAAATAATGGACTAGGTAATAATGCAGAGAACACTCGTTAAGGAATTGCTAAGAAAAATTTTGCTTTCCAAAAATATATTAATTATAAAATTGGGTTCTATTTGTTATTTGGCAGACAGAAATTAAGTAGATTGTCTTGTAACAAGTACCATATTTCTAAGCCAGAAGTAAAAGTAAATTTTAAAATTAAAACTAGAAGTAGATTTTTATATGTTAGTGAATAAGTTTTTATCTAATTTTAACATTCATTAAAACACTTATTTAAATATTCTTTTATCTTTTATTCAACCTCCATGATTTCTTAAACATTTTCTAATCTAATGATTTTTTCAACATTTTCAGGATTTCTCATCTGACACTAGATCTCCAAACCTAGATTTTGAAATAATTCCTCTGTATTATTCTGCTGAACATGCTGACCAAGAAACCAAAGATCTCATGTCCCTTGTAGGTAAGATTTGTCCTGAACAAGGTTTGGATACACAGAATTTTCAATGTCGAGCCTGTGGGCGTCCCATCGGCCTTGTCTATGGTAAAGCAAGACTGTGTTACTATGATGGTTACAATTATTGTTATGAATGTCATGAAAATGATGAAGACTTTATTCCTGCTCGAATAGTCCACAACTGGGATTTTAAACAATATCCTGTTTCAAAACGTGCAAAAGGTTTACTGTCTAGGATAGTTAAAAATCCTATGCTGGATATTAAAATTCTCAATCCTGTCATATACACTGCTGTTGAGGAAATGGCTCAAGTACAGTTGTTGAGGACACAGTTAACATTTTTGCGTTCATATATATTTACTTGCAAAGGATCAGTTGCCGAAGACTTGAGAATGAGACTTTGGCCACGAGAATATTTATATGAGCATGTGCATCTGTATTCCATTTCTGATCTGTTAGAAATTCCATCAGGTACACTTGCTTCAACTTTGCAAAAAGCTATTGCTTTTGCAAAGAAGCACGTATCAGGTTGCCAGCTTTGCCTTCTGAAAGGATTTATATGTGAAGTATGCAAAAATCCAAAAGCCATTTATCCATTTGATGTTGAATCAACATATCACTGTGAAAAATGCTTAGCAGTTTATCATGCACATTGCATGGATGCAAATAAGTACTGCCCAAAGTGTATGCGGCGAATTAAAAGACAACAGCAATTAGAATCAACATCACCTAATTAAAAGAGTTTATAATGCATCTATTAAATCAAAGAGTATCTGTAATTACACATGCATATCTATTTTATTTGTCTAAGTTGTGTTCAAATTTTTAATGCAAGATACTAAAAGTTTTATGTGTTCATTAATAGTTGAAAAAAATTATTTTTTTTTAATTTTTAAATGTAAATTCATGATATCATTTAAGAAATATTAGAATTAATAATTATAGCATTATTCTGTTTTTAATTCATTCATTAAAAATTATATTGAAGTAGAAATCATAAACTTGCATTTTACTTACCATTTAAATATCTTGAATTTCAGAAAAGAAAAGGTTAAATACAATACCCACTGCTTATAAATATCACTTCCATTCCAAGCATATTTGAGATTAATAAACAGGGATTTCAATATTGCAAGTGAGGATATCAACTTTGAATTTATTTAGTAAGACAATAAGTAATATATAAATTATTAATTAAATATTTATTTATTATTATCTATTTGCCAAACTTGGAAATTCATCTTTCTTTCTTTTCTTCTTTTCTTCTTCTTTCTCTCTCTCTCTCTCTCTTTTTTTTTTTAATTTTTTAATTACATACCTGATGAAATTTAAACTTTTTCAAAGAATTTTGCATTGGTTATCAACAGTCCTTTCAGTTGTATTTTCAGTTCATAAAACTGTTCGTAGCTTTTTTAATTACCACCTATCAATTAAAGAGTTCTTAAAATTTGCAGTACTTTTTCCAATTCAGCTGAGGATGGCATGTAGTGACCTTTTTCCATATCAATCTCACTGTCACTTTCAGTTTCTGTAGCTCTTTTAACACTTTCTATAATATTTGTAGTCAGCATTTTCACATGCTATCTCTATATAGTCATCAGTTGTGAGAAATTCTGAAAACAAATCTTCGTAATTTCCCTCACTGATGTTCGAAATAATAGAAACAGTTTGTAATTCCTCTGTGGCATCTTCCAAATAAAAACCACATTTTCTAAAGCAATGTCTAACTGTGTTTTGGGAGAATGCTTACCATGCATTGACAATAAAGTGCATACCTCTAGCAAATTTATTGACTTAGTTATCTTCAAAGTGCTTACGTTTTCACAAGATTGAATTTTGTTTATCTTTTTTTGAGTGACACCTATTTTGTAATTATATTTGAAAGATTTTATAATATCTGGGTCTAGTGACTGAATCCCATTTTAAAAGGAAATCAGTAAAAATACTGCTTGTCATGAGTTCTTGTTATCATGGTAAGTTAAACGTAAATTCTTGACTCCTCGTAAACTCGTACTCTTTTCAATAATCACTGGTATCTTTTTAACTGTTGCATCGGTACTGCACATTAATAACACAGTAACAGTAATTTTTTTTTTTATTTTATTTTTTTATTTCTTAAAAAACCTGCTGCGTTTAACATTCAAACATTAATGCATGCTCTGCTAATGCTCTGTACAACAGAGCAGTTTCATCTGTGCTATAAATTTTGTGTGGGCTATATTTTTTGGAAACCTGGCTATTTCTCTGCCCCTTGCTTTACACCATGTAATTTCTGGTAAACAATGTCATTTATCTCTTTATATCTTGTGAGCTATCCATCAATTATTGCAAAATTTCCCCGTAACGTTTTAGCAAATTCTACAGCTTTTGTGGTCAAAAGAGCTCTAGAAATTAGAGTATTTTTTAGTCTTATAACTTAAAATTATTCTAGAAGAGCAATTTCAATGTCTCTCTCATTGCACTTCCTTGAGACATTTGTATTTTTTACTACCTCTTTATCAATTGTATTTCTTTGTGTAGGTAAATTGTACAATGTAGTTTAAGAAATTTCCATTTTAAAAGCTGCTTCTCTTTGACTGCATTTACCTAATGCATCATTATCTTTTAGCAATTTATCTTTTTCTTTCAAGTTTAAATCATCTAAGCATTTATAACATGTTACATGTCACACACTAGCAAATGAAAAGTGTTTCTTCCAGTGATTTTTTTCAAATACAAAATTCCCATTTCTTGCTAGCAGGAAGATTGTATTGTCATATCCACTTGTCACTTTTTGGTTATTACAGGTGTAATCAATATTTTCTTTTCTTTTTTCTTTCTTCTACAATTATCACTCCTCTTTTCTAATCAAAAGACTGATAATGCAAGGAAGTACTTTATAATGCTTTCTGAGAACATGCTGTAAACTTAATGTGTGTATCCTTGTCCATTCCCTATCAGTTACTGTTTGAGAAAGAGAACCAGTGCTCACTTAAACACCAGTTTACTTAATCCTGGGAAATACTCATTCATTTAAATCAAAGAACTTGTTTCCAATGCCTCTGGAAGTGATCTTAAGATAAAGGTATTTTGTACCTCTTACACCTAGTCTGGACAGAGAGATTTGCAAACACTATCTGACAGGAACTAGGGAAGTGTATCCAGCATCCCAGGGGGACTTAGTTCTGACTACACTGGCCAAAATTTCCACTATATCCATTTTATTGAAGCACTATGTAACTGAAAGATTAATGACTAAACTACAAATAGCTTTTTTATGGCCACAAACAGTTTATTCTAGATCTGAATAATCAGACTTTTTACCAGTTTGAGTTTTATAAGCGATAGAGGTGTGTTTAATAAATGGGGATTTTTCTATTGAATAGTATATATTTATTCTGGTTCCTGGAAATTTGAATTCAATAAGCAACTTAGTGTATTAATCAGTGAATTAAATAAGTGGTGGGCATTGTATTCATGTACTTTATTAAAACGCTTTGGGGACAACATATTTTTTAATCAGAACTGAATATAATTTTGTATAAATCTAATATTTTTAATAATGTATACTTAGAACTAAAAACAATTTTATTAATGCATAAATCTAATGTTTTTGTTTTAAAATGCATCAAGTTGTATTGTTATTTTTAGTGAGATGCTAAGAATTGTTTTTGCATTAAAATTTTTTTTGAGGAAAATGTTATTAGGTAATCAATTATATTATCAGAGAATACATATTGAGTATTGGTTTAAAATCATTAACATATTTCTAGATAAAATTATAAAATCTGCAAATAAGAGGAGTTTAACTTTTGATCAAAGCCAAAAAATAACCAAAAGGACTTAAACAAAAAATTATTTTGTTATTTTGGCCTGATGGCATTATGCTGAATGAGATAGATGATTTACCATAAATGATGAAATGCCCTTCACAATAAACCGATTCTTGTGTTGTAAACATTTTAAATTTATGTTTTTGATCATTATTAAACACTCTGAGTAACATCGTTAGCATTCACAAAATGTTTGGTAACTTAGTACATATATGCTAGTTTGTCATTTAAAATATTTCATTTCCTCATATTCTTTACATTCTGTCGTGAAGAATGGGAAATTATGAAAACAAACAGTAAAGATGAATTCTTATACAAGTCAAGCTAATAAATGTTTTAATGTAGGTGTTCATCAGTAAGTCAAAAAAGCTGTGCCACTTAGAGGGTTAAATCAATAATCAGATATGTGTCACTGTAGATTTTAAATGTAGTTCTGATGGTTGAAAATATGTATCATAACATGCTGTCTATGTTTTCTGTAATATTTTGTTCTAAACTTTTGCTGTAATGTAATCAATTCAGTATATTGTGTGAATAATTCAGTATATTGAGCCTTAAAAACAAGGAGCATTCTGTTCCTTGAAATGCAAGTAGTAGGGGAACGTCAATATAATATGTTGTAATAATATTTGAATGTTCTTCATTTTTGTGCTTCTGATGAGTTGTCATTGTCCTCAAAGTATTAATTTTACTATGCAGTTTGAAATTTTATCCTGTTGCCTAGCTCTAAAATGGTTTTGCAAATGTACACTGTGCAAAAAAAGGGGGGAACAGTTCTATTTTTCAAAAAACTTTTTGAATTATAATCTATAATGTTTCTACCATCATCTTAAGATAAACGTATTTCTAAGCTTACCTCCAAAAAATTACAGTTTTTTATTCAAAATTTCTGAAGATATATGCAAATTTATATATTAGTGTATTTTGAAATTTGGCATATTTGTTAAAAGCAATAAAACATCAAATGTGATTTAGACACTTTGCTAAAATTATTTGGAAGTAGAAACGATGTGACTTCCCCCCCGCTCATGCACAATGTACAAAAGTAGGAATGAGATGCCTTTTTTCCCGCTCCGGCATAATGAAAAGGAAAGGAAAATTGGTTGCCACATATTAAGTTTTCGCTATTCTTGGTGAAAACTGAAAAAAAATTAAGCCAAGATAAATTTTTGAATTTCTCTGTAAATTTCGCACCAAATTTTAAAAAATTTAATATCTAGGATTAATTTGAAACATAGAATTGAAATATGGAAAACAATTGGTATGTTATTTCAGAAAAAGTCCGATTTTGTGTAAAAATACCTATGTTACAACAATGCTATATACAAATCTAATATATATCCTAAGTCGTGCTTTTGAGGCATGAAAAATACCATTTGAATTTTGTGAAATGGCCCAGTAGAATGGGAGATATAGAAATGTCCCCCTCTTTTTTTTTTTTTTTTTTTTTTTTTTTTTTTTTCGCTGGTGTGCTTTTTTTTTTTTCGCTGTGTATAGTTGCTATTTATGTATTTGTGTTTATGAATAAGATAGTAAATTTAGTGAACAAAATAAGTATTTTAAGATTGAATTGGATTATTTGATTATAGGAAAGCACACCAGAATTATAAAGCTACAAGTAGGGATGCCTTCATGGTGGACTTCCTAAGAGAATTTGTTCTGTATTTGCATTATGCAAAAGGAGAACCTCATACAACTAGTCCTTTCAGTTGTTCTAAAAGAACCTACAGTGAACTACCAGTGTTTTTAGCTTTAACTGATTAGCCTTGGTTTAGAGAAGAGTGATTTTTAAGCAATAAAATAATTCTACAAGTATTCATTCTTGTATAATGAAAGTCAAATGATACTTGTCATCTCACTGATAAAAATATTGGCATCATTAGATTACAGTTTTGGAATAGCCATTGCCTATCTTAACTACACAGTGTAAGATATTTGCAACAACCCTTTACATTAGTTTCCCCCATAAAACAAAATTGAAATACTTATAGCCCATCAAATTTATGAAGAACTCAATATATGTTTAGTTAAACAGAATAGAGAATGAATCTGTCTCTATGGAAGTGTTGATAATTATAGTTGAGAGAGAACTAAGTAAAAAGTTAATTAATGATTGCTGGAGTCAAATGATATTTAAAGAAAAATTTTGATTGAAAATTAAACAGCTAAATAATGAATAAGACAAGTTTATTAATATTTGAAACTAGTTGCCTCTACTTCTAAAAATAGATGCTATGTATAAATATATACAGTACCTGGTGCTTATTAAAATCATTTCCATTCCAAGCATATTTTACATTCCGAACATACATTCCCCTGCTGAGTTTAATAGATGGAATGTTTGTATTGCAAATTGTAGTATCGGCTTTTAAAATATCTAATAAGGTAAGTACTGGTGTTTAAAATATCAAAATTTTACAAAGAATTAATCTGTCCATACTTATTTCGTATTGTTCTTGAACAGCTTTTTTTTTTTTTTTTATTGCATTCTCAATATGATGAGATTTCTCGTAGCTTTTCTGATCATTGTCTTTCAATTCAAGAGTTTTTCTTATAATTTGCATTGCTTTGTGATTCAATTATTAGATTTGATTGAGATTGGCACATCATCTGCTATATCACTTTCACTATCAGTTTTCTGCTGTACTTTTAGGAGTTATATTATTGTAGGCAGTTTTTTGCGTGCTATCTCAATATTTTCATAACCTGCAATGTATCCTAAAAATTAATCTTCATAATTACTCTCACTGATGTCTGAAACATTAGGTATTGCCTACAGTTCCTTTGAGGTTTTTTTTAAAACTAAAGCCACATTTTGAGAAGTAATTTTTAACTGCATTTTGAGTGAATTTCACTCCTATCCACTGATTGTAATATGGAAGGCCTCTAGCAAATATATCAACTTATTTATCTCCTTTGATGTTATTGCATTTTCTTGATATAAAATTTTATTTATCAGGTTTTGAACATCTTTTCTATAATGATGTTTGAATTTTTTTATAATACCATAGTCAAAAGCCTGAATATTTAAAGTTGTATTTACCAGAGAATCAGTAAAAATACTCCTGTCATCCGTGACTTCATGTTTTTGTGTTATGTTAGTGAGGAATTCATAACTCCTTTCAAATATCTAAGTTTTGGGCTTTTACTAATGACCATTTTTTTTTTAATTATTGCATTCATATTGCACACAAGTAACACGACAACTCATGCCTTCAGTTTCTTAAAACTAGCTGCTATTTCACTTTTAAACATTTATGTGTGTTCTGGTAATGTTCTGCAACACAGTCTTATTTCATATGCTTTATAAATTTTGTGTGGCTTGTATTCCTTAAAACAGCCCAGATAAGATGTCTTTGTCCAGATACAAGAATGAATACTTGTAGTCCAGTTATCAGCAGTATGATACTGATAGAAGTTGAATTAGCAGGAGGAGGCATTAATTTAATGCTTATCGAATTTAAAAGATTTTTTGAAGCCCCTTGCTTCTCAATATGCAGTTTCTGATAACCAACATTATTTCTCTGTTATCTTGTGAATCATCCATCAATTAGTACAAAACTCTTTCTTAAAGTTTTAGTGAATTCTACAACTTTTGTAAAGAGAGCTCTAAAAATATGAATATTTTATAGTTTCATAGTTTGAAGCTATAGAAGAGAAGATATAACATCTGTCAATATTGTGTTGCATCATCATATGACATCATCATCATTTTCTCTGTTTTTTTTTTTTTTTTTTTTTTTTTTTTTTTTTAAATATATATCCTTTGAGACATTTACCTTTATATTAGTTTTTCATCAATAATTTTTTGTTAAAGTAAATAGCACTATACTTTTAGGAAAATTCCCTGTTTAAATGCAGAGGCATAATCTTTTAACAATTTATCCTTTACTTTCCCACTTGAATTCCAAAAATAAAGTATAATATATAAAAATATATTATAAAACATAAATATGAAATGAACGCTTGAATGCATAAGTGCATAAAAATAAATTAATTAAAAATACGTAAAAAAATAAATTGAAAATAAAAAATAATAATAACATTTTTCTTTAATTCAAGGTTATAGCAATGAATATGAAATTTTATTGTTAAAAATTAAAGTAATGTAACATGGCAACATTGAACCATAATCCATAATTCCAAAATATTGATTTTACCATTTTGTCTGCATTTGGTCCAACTTATAAATTTGAGCAAATATTTTTATACATGAAATTTATTTTAAGTAGGGACAAGAGCAGCTGAATTACCAAAATTCAGATGCTTAAATTCATCTTAAGATGAATAACTATAAGCAAGACTTGACTAAATTGGCAAAACAGCTATAAGTCAGACTTGACTAAACTGACATCACAAATTCAGCTTGTGCGAGAGCCATTGATATCAAAGAGAAAAAGGAAGTTCATTCAGTTATGTTTTTATTATAATAATTTTAATTTTTATGCTTAAAGCGTATTGTAATTGTTTTCTCAATAAAATTTATCTTATTATTTACCAAGATAGGACTTCATTCACCTCTGACCCAAAACGTCATCTTCATACATACATTGTGGTTGATTTTCACCTGCAAATAAAAAAGGTTGCTGACACCTGCTCTAAATTTTATTTACGTTTAAGATAAGGAAATTGCACTACCCAGCTGGTATAGTGGTTAGGGGAGCCAGACGACTGCGATATAAAAGGGCCTGGGTTTGAATCCCAGAGAAGGCATTGTTGTAACTGTTGTGATTGTCCAGGCAAAGGTAGCTCACTGATTAGGTGCTTCCATAATAAGGTGACCGCCACTTCTA